CCAAGGGCAAACAGCATTCCCCTGCCACAGAATCAATGTCAATGCCCAAGAATCTGAGGCACGTGACCGGACCCACTGTTTTCTCGTGGGCCAATGGGACCCCAAATCGTTGAAAAGCATTTTTTTTTTTTTAGACCGAAGGTTCCGAACCAGCAGCAAAGGGGGGCAATCAGTGAATGGAATCCAGAAACCGTGCTCAAAGCCTTCAAACAGGTCGTAGGCAGCTCGACAATTGCTATAACTCGGTTCCACCGGCGTTGTCGCCCTTTGACTGAATTATATGCTGGCCCGTCTCCCAAGAGGCACTGAGGTAAGATGATCCCTACCCACTCGCAAACCCGTAAACACTCCCATAAACATACAACTAATCCCACACACTCATACATGTGCCCTTAGCTGTGCTATCTCTCCAGGGCCTTGTCCAAAATTCATATATTTTAATGTGTATAATTAATTGTTACGAAAAATATGCATTAACTAAGATTTGCACAAACATTTGCTAAGCCCTAAAAACATATCTACATTTTTTTGCCAGCACTTAATTTCCCAGGTAGTGCTGGGTATTATCCACTTAAGCACTTCTCATTGAGAAGCACTGAAGCAAATCTCCATTACAAAGCTTCTCATAGAGATGGGTGGTTTTATTCAGTTTTAGGGATTTGTATTAACAAAAGTCATTCTTTAATGATGAATTACTTCAGGTGTTGTTATTAAGTATTAATGTGTATGAGACCAGAGCTGGCGCTTCCTATAATGTGAACTAGGCAACTGCCTAGGGTGCCACATAGGAGGGGGTGCCCTGTGCCCCCCATCGACGGCCCTTCTAATGCCACAGCTGTCTGAACACTCTATAGAGATCCTCAGGCGGCTGCAGCACTGCCTCTCTCCTCACCTTCCCTTCCCTGTGTAGCGTGGCCGCGTTCCTCTCCTTACACAAAGAGAAACACACAATTCATCCATTACACACACACACACACACACAATGCAAACCTTACACATAAAGACAATGCATCCTTTGCACACATACACAGAAACACACAATGCATCTCTTACACACAACCAGAAACACACAATATATCCCTTATATACAAACACACACTGCTTTCTATCCCTTACATAAAAACACACTGCTTCCACTACATACAACACACTGCATCGCCTACACAAAATGGTATCCCTATATACTACATTCCCTAAGCACACACATTAGATCCTCTACAATAACACATAACACATCCCCTACACACTCCACTTCCTGTGAGCGAACTGATGGGTAGAACATGTAGGTGGACTTATGGGTGGGCCTTATGGCAGCAATCATGCACACCAGGTATTTGCCTTTTCAAAGGCCAGTTACAGCCAATTGGAGCCACAGGAGGGGTATTTAAAACTGATTCTCCTCTTGCTCATTGCCCTGTCGTGGTTTCATGCCTATAGTTATCCGAGAGTGTGTTCCTGATCTTGATTTTCTGGTATTTGACATTGGCTTTGTTTTGACTTAACTGATATCTGGTATCCTTGACTTTTGGCTTTCCGTCATCTTTGTGTCTGATTCTGTGTCCCTGACCTCGGCAAGCATTTTGACTATTCTTGGAGACGTTAAGTCCGGCCATTCCAAGGTCCAGTTATACGTTATCCTTAGTCCTGGGTGTGACACAGTACTGCGTGCTGGATCAACTTGTAATCCTGACACAAGATTATTCACTAAAGTTAGAACTCAAATTTAAGGCAAAAGAAGTAAAACTCAAAACATTACTGACTGAGGATATTTCCAGTTAGACTTTTTTTAACCTTAAATTTGAAATTTTATTTGAATTCACTTTGAGAAAAAAATTAACCCTGTTAGTGTGTAACACCTGTCAAAGGTGTTTGTGGTTGAAGAAATAAAAAGAACATCTGGAATTTCTATCGTCCACAGGTTCATTAGGATGTTTCATCATGAGAGGGCTTTTATCAAACCTGAAGGTATCTTGGGTTAGCATGCCATGTGAGCTGATACCAAAAGCAAAAGTTGCACAAAACATTTTTTAAAAAAAAGATAGTATTTAATCTGGGAGAGCCCAGGTAGGCTGCCCTATAGATAAAACAAGTGTATTTATCTCCAGAAATGAAATATTTTTGCAAATCAAGGCTGCAAGGACAGGTTATTTGCACCACAACTACTTTAATATTAAGTAAACATGCTTTTTGGAGTGCTTTATTGCGGATCCAGTTAAAATGTCTAATCCTTTGTGCTTTATAAATGGCTAGATTAACATTAAAATGTTTTTTTTGCAGTTTTGGTGTACTTTATTATGTCAGCATTGTGACCATGTTTCTCAATTAAAAATTGTTTTATCCATGCTTGTTATATATCTCCTTACTGCATATTATTTCAGGTTGTCAAACTGAAGGGATTAGGGCTACTAACATGTGACTAAATAAAAGTGGCGCACACACAATGTAACGGATCGCCTGGCACCCCGACTGGGTACCTCCGTTGAAGGATGCTCCTAGCGCTTCCTGAGGACTCCAAGCACTCTGGCAGACACCACAATCACCGAACCGGAGAAACGAATAAATTCTCCCCAGCATATGAATGCGGTAGACAGTTGAATAGGAACCATACGAATAGGTTTACTCTCCTAGCAGTCAAACTGGAACAGCATACAATAAATCCTTCCCCCAATAATTAGACGACACTTCACATTTGAGGGTTAAAACAGGAACTGACTGGACTGGCACATACAGCCTCTTTTATTCCCAATCCACAAATTTAGTACTGCCCACAGGGTTTTACATAACAACCAATAACACACGTACATTACAGAAAGACACTCCCACACAAAATCCTCCCCTCTGGGTAATCTAATTATCACAGCCAGAGAAATACAGTTTAATAAAACACATCACAGGGACCCCAAAACATGCAATAACCCCATAAAACTATCCTTGGAACCGAGGGATCTCGGTGAACCACATATCCAAAATTCACCCAGATCCGTTCAGTACTTTGGAAGATACAGTTTAATGCAGATTCTGCAGAACATATACAGGCTAAATGAAAAACAATCACTGTATAATGTGTCCCCTGCTGTATAGTCCAAAACCACTGCTGTCTCTGTGCACCAAATACTGGCGAGATGGCACCGTGTTGAAAAGTCCAAACAGTGTCTGTGAATTAAAATGCCCGCCATCCATTGTTCTCACCATGTGCTTCATCTATTGTTCTCACCATGTGCCTCTGATACAGGAAATGGTGGCCACCCAGTAACTCCACAGTATGTCCCCAGATGGTTCTTAAAGGGCCAGCAGCAGCACAACACAAATCCATTATGCCCAAATCATGTCTTTAAAGGGCAATACATCCCAGGGGCCATAGTCACATGGCAGGAGGCTGGCAACCAGGCTTCTCCAGTGCATAGTGGCGAGGTTGGTTCCGCCACACTTCTCCCTTTACCAATCAGACTAACAGGGTATCTGACCTCCTGACGGTCAGTGCCCTTGTTAGTCCAGCAGCCCACCCACAAAACACAATCAGTAATACAGCCCACCCACAATAACTGGCTACTACACCTGGGTAGAGGAGAACTATGTCCGTGTCCAGGTGCCTCACCATGGCTGTGTGGGTGACTGGTAAGCGGACTGGGTGGGTTGCTGAGTGGGCAGAGACCAGCGGTACTCTGTCCTGGTGCCAGCACTACCATGGGAGTAGTCTGGTTGGAGCCTGGTTGCTGGAGGGGGAGACTGACTGTCTCCCCTTTGCCTAAACAGTCCTGCTGCTGGGGGACAGGACCGACTGTCCCTACCCCCGGTGGTGCATGTGCAGAGACCACGGTCGTATCTGCACTGTTGAGGAGATTACTGTCTCCCCTTGGTGGGCTAAGCTGCCGCTGGGGAGAGGGGGTAACAAGCTCCTCTCCCATACATACTTTCAGCCGCTGGGGAGAGGGGATAACAAGCTCCTCTCCCTGACACTCTCTCTGCTGTTGGAGGGGGAGACCAACTGTCTCCCCTTTCAATAATTTGTCCTGTTGCTGGGGAGAGGTGATAACCGGTTCCTCTCCCTGGAACACTCTCTGCTGTTGGAGAGGGAGACCAACTGTCTCCCCTTTTAATATATTGTCCTGCTGCTGGGGAGCGAGACCGACTGTCTCCGCTTCCTGCAGGACACACTGCCGCTGGGGAGGAAGGACGGCTCCTTCAGCTCCCTGGGATACATACTGCCGCTGGGGATCTGGGCTGACTGCCCAGCATCCCTGTAGGGACTGTAGAGAGACCTCGGTCCCATCTCCACCTGCCAGCTGGGTGTCTTCCCAGGCCAAGTCAATAAGGTCTTCCATCTCTGGGGCTGGTTGGCACATATGTGGTACAGTACCAAGGTCCCCTGATAACAGGCTTGGTTGCTGGGGAGGAGGAACTAAACTCAATGCTTCCGGTGGTATACAGTCAATAAGCCCCATCATGTCAGAGACAGGCGGCGTGTTGAGACATGTTGGAATAGGCAAACATAATCCTGTTCTAGTTCCCACTCTTGTTTGGCAAGAAAAGATAGATCTGGCTGAATGGCATCGATCTCCGTAAGGTCCCAGTTGTCTGCCCGCTCAGCTCGGATGGACCAGAAGCGAGCAATGTCGGTGTCTCCGAACCAGAGACTAGTTTCAATAGTATCCCACAACAAACCAGGGCCATCGTAGTCTTCCCCCTCAATACACTTGTACTCAATCAGCCATGGGTAGAGGTGGTAAACATGCCACCGCAGGGCCCGATAGGAATCATCCAGCCACACCTTAGTCTCAACTAGCGTCTCAAGTTCGCTTACCCATTCGTCTGAGGGCTGGTTTCCCAATAACGGCATCCGCAGCTCTAGTTGTTCTGCTTGGCGCTGGTTAGTGGTCAGGATTTCCTCGCACCGGAAGGGTCGAATTTCATCGATGTCCTCCTTCCAGAGATCGGTACAAAGTGCCACCCTCCACTCTGTCTCTCTTTCCTCTGGGATAGGATACTCCATACTGCGCATCACATCCTGTAGTGGCTGCTGGAGCCTGGCATCAAAGTGAGATACTGCACGGCCTTCCATCTCTGAAGTAGTGCTGGTTTTCCCAAATCTTTACGCCAGGGACGTTGTATGAACACTAGCATCGCCTTCAATTTGTAAATCCACGAACTGTGTCTCTGAGCTGCTTTACCTCGCACTAGGACGCCATCCCACCGCTTGCCACCAATGTAACGGATCGCCTGGCACCCCGACTGGGTACCTCCGTTGAAGGATGCTCCTAGCACTTCCTGAGGACTCCAAGCACTCTGGCAGACACCACAATCACCGAACCGGAGAAGCAAATAAATTCTCCCAAGCATATGAATGCGGTAGACAGTTGAATAGGAACCATACGAATAGGTTTACTCTCCTAGCAGTCAAACTGGAACAGCATACAATAAATCCTTCCCCCAATAATGAGACGACACTTCACTTTGAGGGTTTAAACAGGAACTG